TGACTGCTTTGTTGAAGCAGCCACTTAAACAACTGAAATAAGGGAAAATAATAATAAAAAGAATTTTAAAAAAATACTATAGGAGAGCCCCTATGTGTCAAATATATATAATACTGTCCAAATATATTGAAATTATGTGCTGTAGAGAAAAGTTTTGATATAAATATTATTTTCATTTGGAAAATTCTGACTTTATGAGTTTACATTTAAGAAAAATGTTTGCCTCTATAATCAGTTAACTAAAGAAGCTGACCGGGTATGTTGACTAACTACAAATTTCATTTGGAGAGATACTAAAATGATAGAATACAGAAAAAGAGGGGAAACAATTCTGCAGACACTGTGGCCTGCTATCATGCAGGGCATATTTTAGACCATCCTAGAGAACAAATGTCCACTTTTCCCAAAAATTATTATTTCACTTATGTAACAAAAAAACAAATTTGGCCAAGGGTATCCTATTCTGAGTGTGCACTGATGCTATTTTTTAACCAACTGTAACACTTAGAAACTTAATGATCAGTTAGTAGCAGAGCAGAGCTCCTCTTTTGGGTCTTTGCAGACCACAGGCAAGTACTACCAATTTACTTTTCTACCAGCTGGCCACCTGGGTGTACCGAGCCCCACTCTTTGAGATGTAGAGCGAAAAGCAAAGTGTGAGATGCCCCGAAGTGTCTTGATTTTACTCTTCACAGTGCCTTTACTCCTCCTTTCTCCTAGGTTTTTCCTCCCCTCTCCAAGATATTATCATAATCACAGAATTTTCTTGCTTGGTAGAGGCTTTAGAGTGATTGAGTCCAGTTCCCAATTTTATCCTGAAAAACCAAGGCCACAGAGTATCCTGCCCAAAGCCCAAGAGCTCTTGAAGACAGCAGACACAAATGTCCTCTAGCTCCATCTCGCACACATGTCCCTTCATCACTGAATTTCACTTGCTCAAAAGGAGCACCTGCAAAAAACTTCTTTGTCAAGCCAAGCATATCCCTGTAATCTCAGCACTCAGGAGGCTGAGGCAAAAAGCTGGCTGGGAGTTCGAGACAGATTCTTTCTCAAAACAAACAAAAAATCAGATTTTAATGGAGAAAGACTCTTGAGCTTCAACTTTTGCATCCCAATACTAATTAAATGATTGTTACTAATGATGACAAATTATATTTGGGGTTCTAACAGGTCAGAAAGCTAAGAAAGCTGGAGTCCACAATACAGAACTCAGGAAATAAGAGCTTTGTCGCCCTTACCCCAAATCTACAAAACCAGATACTAAGGATTACACTTTGCTTATGGGCAATATTTTCCTTCAATTTTCCCTAAAATATCTTACAAAGCCATAGTGCCTCAAGTTTTTACTGAAATAGAAGTGTAAAGTTTAAAATCTGGTCTCTCTGCATGAATACATTATAATGATACCTTATTTTATCTGTGTTCCTATTTCCAAGTGCCCTTACATATGTCACTTTGCTGATGTGGCTGGTTTGTTTTTCCTCTGAAAAGGGCTACTGCTTAAACCTGTAGCTTCTGCGAAGAAGAGACATTTGGGGTAAATATGCCCAGCACCGCAGCTGGCCTGGGTCACTTGGCCCATCCTGTCTGCAGCACTTCGGTGTAGCTTTTCCATACCTGCTGTCCTCTGCAGAGGCTGGATGTTTGCCACTATGCTCAGGTTTATCACCTCACAAGTTCCCAAGAAACTGGAGCTCTCCCAGCTTCTCTCTAAACCCCTGCACGACCTCTTCTGGCCGAAGACTTGTAAGAGATTTGCATCCTCCCTCAGCCAGAGCCGTCCCTCTTTTTTGCCTATTACCGTCTCTTCCCTACCTCTGCTACAAACAGGCAACCTTGTTCTCAACAAAACGACTGGCAAACCAAGGGAAAAAGTTCAGAGTTGAGACGCACACAGTACCGAGGACCACCAGATCACGAGAGGCAACACTGCTGGCCAAGGTAAACGGAATTTATAGAAAGCCCCCAGACCCGTGGGCGCAACCTGGCCCCATTTGTCAAGCTTGCTGCGACCAGCAGGGTAGGTAGCGGCTGTTAAGGCACAAAGCAAACTGGGACAGCATGCAAACACCTTGGTCCAGAAGAGGGACTGGCGGAGCAAAATTAATAGAAGTAAACTGGGGAAAGATGCGCTAAACCCACCTGCACGGCTCAGAGCGCGGGACAGGACAGGACGGTAGTTACTAAGGATGGCACGGCGGGGACTGTCCCTTCCCTCTGCTCTCCCCAAAGCTGCAGGCCAGAACGTTCACTCACACGCACTCACAAACACCACGCGCACCAATATGCGTGGCAGGGCAGGGACAGGTGTGCGGCGCTCCACCCCGAGGTACCTGCCTGGCCCCGCCACCCCGCGGCATCCTGGTCGCAAACAGCCGCACACGGAAAAGAAGGCGCTGCCCCACCCGCCGCCCCGACAGCTGTCGCGACATCACACCTGGGGCCGGGGCCAGGGCGGCGGCACCCACCAGAAGTGCGCGGTGCGCCCCCTCTTCCTCTGGGCACAACTTTCACAGCCCGCGCCGCGCTCGCGCCTGCTGCTTGTCCTTACCCAAATACTGTCGCAGGTCGAGCAGGAAGCGAGGGGGTCCCCCGCTGAGCTGGTAGAAGAGGGAGCCCAAGCAGAAGACCAGCAAGGTTGCCATGCAGAAACCGTAGTCCCGGAGGGAGAAGCGCAGGAGAGGCAGCAGCGAGACCCGGCGCTTCCAGCCGCCCAGGCCCGCCGGGGCGCCCCCAGCCGGGGCCGCATGGGGCCAGGAATCCGCGCCGCCACCGCCGCCGCCGCCGCCGCCGGGATGCTGCTGCTGCTTCTTCTTCATCGCCTGCTCCGCCGCCTCGCACAGCCGGCCCGGGCCAGGAAGAGGTCGCCCTCCGCCGCGAGGGGAGCGCGGCCGGCCGGCTGCACATGGGGAGGGAGGGCCGCGCCGAGGGCAGCCGCTGGGGGCGGGGAGGCCCGAGGGCCGCGCTCAGGAGACTTTGCGGGGCATGGTCCTCGCC